ATGCGGTGCAGACAATCAATCAATGCGGTCCATATGGATATGCGAAAAAAATGGCGGATAGTCGTAAATTATGCGGCTTTCGATTTGGATATACGATTCATTAATTATGCGATTGAAGACTAGGCGAATCATCCCAATTGTTAGATTATTATGGGATATGATATGGGAATCGCATCAACTCAATTGTGCTATTATTATGGGACATGTTATGCGAATCGCACAATGAACCTAATTGTGCGACTATTATGTTACATGTTATGCAAATCGCACAATCAACCTAATTGTGCGATTAGTATGAGGACATGTTATGCGAAACGCGCAATCAACTCAATTGTGCGATTATTATGGGACATGTGTGATGTGTGCAGGTCAACCCAATTCCGATTTCGACAATTGTACCTGGATTACGAACATTTGCTTCTCATTGACCTCTTTGTCTTCGTCGCCTGACTCACCATTGTGCGTGTTTGTTTGGTCATCATTATTGTCATCGTCACGAGAATGACCTGGTTGGTTCGAACAACCCGAGGTTTGATCATCAGCGCCCCGAGGATATCCAGTATGTGTAAATGAACTAGGGTCTGCTTGATGTGAATATGGGGCCTCGTGGGAAAATGCAGAACTACCAACACCAAAAGAACTCGGAAATACACCTTGGGACGCCATCATTTGCGTGAAGCTTTGTTTCGCCGTCCTCGGAATCCCTACATTTACTCGCTTCTCCAACTCCACGTAAATGTTGGGATTTCTTTGTTCTTCAATCAGCTCTAAGATATCCTCACTGGATTCGATTTTCATCTTCACAACTCGTTCCCTTCCATCAAATACTGCCCACAATATGTACTCAAAATTATAAGGATCGGCCTTTAATAATGCTTGAGCACGAGAAACTACTTCAGAATATATTTGTCGGCCGTAATTTATTCTCATCAGCTCAGCCACTCCACCACGATATGAACCCTCGCAAAACGAACCACCAAAGTGCACCAATACTCTAACACGTTGCTAGCTATTCAAATAAGTGAACAACAAAAAGAACTAAAAAAAAAAAGAAACAGAAAAATGCAGTAGATGAATGGTGCAGGCGTTAAAATGTTAGAGATCACTGTTTTCTTGCCTGCATGATAAATGCAGGGACCAAATCCTCACCTGTGAAAAAGCAGTCAATTAATGAGGTGCGCAACCTATGCGAAAGATCTGCGAACAAATTCCGAATAGTCGTAAAATTGCCAGGTCGATATGGCCCTGCGAAAAAATGGCGCATAATCGTCAAAAAAAATATGCTTTATTCGATTTGGTTATGAGATTCTTAAATATGAGAGCGAAAAAATTGTCACATAATTGTCAATTATCCGGAGGATATATGCGAAATTGTTTCGCATATTTAGTAAATTATGCGATTGGACGTGGATATGCAATTACCAGAAAATACGTATTCAACAAACTATGCGAATTAGATGCGAAATATTTTCGCAGTCATAAATTTGCAAGGTTGATATAGCCCTGCGAAAAGAAGGCGCATAATCATCGTAAATTATGCTGCAAATCGATTTGTATATGCGATTACTAAAAATGCGAAAGATGTTCGCACATTTATAAATTATGCGTTTGATGTGGATATGCGATTAAAAAAATGCGAAATGTTTACGCATAGTCATAAATTATGCGGCCGATTGGATATGCGCTGGTTCCTTTGGACATGCGAGTGTAATATCGCATAGCATTTCGTGATTTTTGGGGTGTAAAAGAAGTTATTTGATGGGGCGGTGTGAAAAAGAAAGAATAGATTTATAACGGGGTGAAAAAGATTTTGACCCATCAAAGAATATGGTTGGTTTACTTAATGTATATAGAAAGTTGATCCCACTATAGAGCCAACTGTTGGCTTCATAGAAAAACTGCGTAAATATAAACCTGTCTTTCCATAAACCTAAAACCTCATTCATATAATAGAAAAGCTGGGAGTTTTGTTATTCTAAACCTAATTAAAAGCTCTATTATGGTTCAAAGCATGTTTGTTAAAGGTTGAGATGAATCAAAAAGAAGATTGAAAGTGTGCGATCCTCTCTTATCATCCAAAAATTAACAACAGCAGCAACAACATAAGAACTTGTGGTGGTCTGTTGAAATCTGGTGTGTATAAATTATGTTCGAAATCAAAACAAGTCTTGAAAAGTCGTAGCAAATCGCAATATTAAATAAATCAAATGCATTATATCTTTTTAAGACTTTTAAAATTTCAATACAATACCTCACCACATTTTATTAAATTATTAAAAAGTCTATAATGCATTGGGACTTTCAAATTCTTAAAAAGACTTCGCAAATTCGAATTGAAGACATCCTCCGACAATTTGATTTGCAATTTGGGTTTTTTAAGATTGTGGAAGAGGAATAATCACTTGCATTTCGAGCTTGAGCATTTGCTTATGAGTGAAAGCAACAATAAGTTGCATTGTCTAGCCAATGGTGTTGAATTCCCGTTCAACAAGTTGAAACCGATAACCATCCACAAAGACAGTTTAGGGCCCGGCAGTTTTGGTCCTAAAATACGTATGCAACAATGTAATCATAACCTCAAATTATCGTACTCGATATGAAAACCAAGAATACCCATATCTAAAAAAATGAAAAAGGGTACATAATGTAACAGAGGCCCTAATAGATAAAGGAAAGATGCAAGTCTTTGAAAGTCTCTTGTTATTTTCGAGCTATAGCAGCAAACCTCTGGCAGATGAGAAGAAAAATGAACCATATGACAACAACATATATCCAACTCCACACAAGCTTGGAATCAATAGAACCAAGAATGAAGCTCACGATAATCACTTTTGCAGTCGTACACGCCCAAGCGGGATATCATCAACCACAGCTTCAAATATCTTCTTCTCAAGCTCGGACTCATCGACCCACAACGAACTCTTTCTATGCAAAAGCTCACTCCTCACTTTCTTCTTTTCCTCAACTGTTTTCTCTCTCATCCTCCAATACTCGAGTTTCTCACCTCTTTCTTTCATCTGCACTCATCACAAGGATTGCAAAACATGATCAAATGGATAAATAAAATGGGGGGTGGGGGGAATAAATAAGAGCTATCGCGATGGAATTTCAATTAGCAATCAATATGTATATCTAGCACGAGACAAGCAAATTTCAAACATAAGACAACAACTCATATTATCATCTAAATAAGGAAAGGGCGGAGAGGGAAAAACTAAAAGGAAAAAGAACGCTTACATACAACCAAAATCCAGTGCAACCAAGGCTAGGAAAGTAAAATGTATAAAAACACCAACTGCGATAGAAAAAAGAATTGCGTATCCAGATTCAGGCACGCCCACAGATACATTAATCAGAGAAATGGTACTCGATCTGCAAATAATTAAGTATCTAGACTTTGGTAGCCTGGCACACATCATTTCTCAAGATGAAACTTCATCGTCAGTAGTTGCTTTAAAGATTTTGAGCATCACATCAACAAAGAATCCAATTAGGATGCGAATTAAAAGGCTACAACGAAATTTTAATTATCATCCACTTCTCTTAGTTTCTATTTCCTAATACAATTGGTCGAATAAATAAATAATTTCATTAGTTTCAACTGAATCAAATATGTTACGGGAATAAGAATGTTTGCCAATCTTGGATTTCGAAGTAAGATATAGTTGTTGCGACTATTAAGTAGGACCAAATAGGTAAAGTTAGAAATTTTCATAAACTTCAAGAAGATACATCTCAATGCGTATAACCATCCTATTCTTTTTTTCTTCTCATAGAAAAGCTAGCTATGCTTGAAGTTCTCAGCTAAGTTTTATTCTTACTACTCAATACTACTACAAAATTCCATAAAGATGAATTTCTTAGTTAACAAAATAAATTAAAAAACTTGTTTATAAGCAAAATAGATCATTGATGGGAGTCAAACATTTCCATGAAATTTTTGTTCCATAATTCTCATTAAGAGTGCCCAAATTCAGTAGTCATCTAACTAAGGCCAAGTTATGCAGCTGACTCGATACATCTGTTTTCTATTACATAATACAGAGGAACATCTGACATAAGAACACACATTAAAAATTATAGGAAAGATAAATTATTCTATAGTTTCAGCCTTTTCCCGCAGAACATAAACCTACATAAGAATGTTAAATCAATCACAACAAACTAAAGGAAAAACACACGCAGACACACAGGGAACAAACTAAAGGAAAATAACTGGGGTAATCAGAAACAAGATGGGGATCCTCAAATGCAGCGAAGTAATTTATCATACCAGCATCTCGCGGAACTCTTCCTCAGCAGCCTGCCTCTCGATAGCCTCCGCCTTCTTCTTGGCGGCTTTAGCGGCCTTCCTCTCCTCGTTAGCTATCCTCAGGGCTTCCTTTCTCGCCTCGTCCCTTCGTAGTTTCTCGATCCTCTGCAATTCCATTTCCTGAATGTACTCCTTCCGGATTTGCTTGAACTTCCGGTCGTAATCGCGGCGGAGGAAGGCCAGCTGCGCGGCGGCCTCCTTAGGGTTACGCGGAGGTTTCCAAGAGTTTATGTAGGAGCTCGGGGGAAGAAATTCGTGGTGGTTACGACGGGATGATGGAGATTCCGATATGACGTTGGTGGAGAAGTGGCGGGTGACTGCGAGCTTGGTAGGCCGCCGCCGGAGTAGGTGGCAAGAGAGCGACATTTGATTGTTAAGTGGTTTTTAGCACGGGTACCACGGTGAGATTATTTTTTGGACCGATCAAAGTTTGGGCATTTAAAGAAGAGTGGGTTTTTGCAGGGGTTTCACGGGGAGTTTATTTTGGTGACCGATTTGGGCATTTAAAAGTACGGTGAGATTATTGTTTGGACCGATCAAAGTTTGGGCATTTAAAGAAGAGTGGGTTTTTGCAGGGGTTTGTGAGATTATTTTGTGACCGATTTGGGCATTTAAAAGTAGGACTGGGCAAAAAATTCGAAAGAACTAACCTAAACTAGGGATACTCGGTTCGGTTACAAATACCTCAAAAGAAGTATTTGCTCGGTTGGGTTCGGTTACGGTTTTTAGGATTTTTCTATCCCGGTTAACCGAACAGAATCGTATATAAAATTTATAAAATATATATTATATTTTTATATATTAAACTAACCTCAATAGTAAATACCTAATCAAAACTCAGAACTTAGTAAATACCTAATCTAAATAATTAGGGCTAAGTTTGGTTTATTATTTGCAAACTAGTAAGTAGATTTGTGTTAGGTTTGTTCGGTTCGGTTCGATTCGGTTAATTCGCGAATAGTAGGATTTTTTCGATTAACCGAAAATTCAGTTATCCGAGATTTTCGGTTCAGTTTCGGTTAGCAAGTTCGAATATTTGCTCGGTTCGATTCGGTTAGCAAATACCTCAAAAAACTCAAGTATCGAAACATGCCCAGGAGATATTGGATACAAATGCCTTGTTTGGCAATCATATGTTAGTTGTTAGCTATTAGTGGATTATGTTAGCTATTTTGACTGGCTGATAGTGTTAGCTGTCTATAAAAATATATTTGGTAAAATTAGATGTTTGTAGTTAGCTATTAATATATAAAACTATCTGTAATATATTTTACTATATTTTTTTTGCTATAATCATAGTCACCTTAAAATATAAATTATTTACATATTTGAAAAATTAAAAATTAGTTAATAATAATATGTGGGTAAAAGAATTATTATCCTACCTTGAATATTTGAAATAAAGAGTCAAAGACTAACTAAATAAAAGATTTAAAATAAATAATGACATATTTAACATGCTATAATATTGTTATTTCAAATAGAAAAAATGAATAATTTACACTTAACACAAAAAGATAAGAGAGAGAGAGAGAGAGAGAGAGAGAGAGAGAGAGAGAGAGAGAGAGAGAGAGAGAGAGAGAGAGATGAAGGCTTGATTGTGTCAAACATTTTAAATAATATGAACTCATTAATACTTTATACTCCACACAAAAGGAAAAAAAAAATAAAAATAAAAGACGTGAGTGTCCAATGTCCAAGCATTTTGAATCACGTAATTCCATGCCCCAATTATAAAAAAAGCTAATGTGAATAGCTGCAAGGAGAAGCGTTTTCAAATTTGGCAGTTTGGATAAAAACGCTACATCCATAAGCTATTTTACCCAACATCTGTTTTTAACGGGTCAAATTGTCAAACAAGCTAATTTTAGTCAAAAAGCTAAAAATTGGACAAAACACCATTATCCAAACATGGCCAAAATATTTTTCTTTTCCTAGTTCAATTTTTGTTTTTCCGTACAACATCATTATAACTTTTCCACGGTGGATTTTTGTCTTTTCGTAGAACATCATGTCCATGAGAGACTCCCGCCTTAATGTTCTCTTTGTGATCATGTGGGTCACGTTAGGGCTTATTGCTACACCAGTGGCAACAAGCCCCGTCCGTCACTTCTGCTGTGCTGCCATGCGACAAGGTCGGGTCCTCCTAGCTGCTCAGGGGGACTCCAAGAAGAAGGGTAAGGCCCTTGCCCCCGCGCCTGAGTCTCCGAAGGGATATAAGGACAAGGATAAGGCGGTTGTTGAGACTGCCACTCAGGTTACACAGCTTAACCGGACGAAGGGGGAAACTATGGGCAGGCCAAAGGCCAACTCCACGGGCTTCTTCTGTAATATCCCATTTAGTTATTAGTAATAAGTATCAGTTTATCTTCAAAATCGAGATATTTTGAGGGTAAATAAGTTAAGAAATTGAAGTTTTTAAGTCACACGGGTCGTGTGGGTAGCCACACGAGTCGTGTGAAGTCACACGAGTCGTGTGACAAGTCACACGAGTCGTGTGACTCAAAGCATCATTTAAAATAAGTTCGGCTTTGTCACACGAGTCGTGTGACCAAGTCACATGAGTCGTGTGAGCTCACACGAGTCGTGTGACAAGTCACACGAGTCGTGTGACCGACAGAAATGATCAGATTGTCATTAACTCGTTTTTGGTGGCAACTAAAGTTAATTTTGAGCATTTAATTAAGAAAAGCTGATGTTATAATGTTAGGTAAGGATATATTTAAAGTGATTAATTTTTACAAGTTTAAATTGTTTAATTTTATAATTTCTTCACTCCAAAGTATTTTATTCTAAAATTTGCCTATAAATAGAGGGCTTCCAAATCTGAATATTCACACCAAAGAAATATTACAAAGTTATATAATTTTATTTGAGAGTTTGAGTGGTAGAAATGATAGTAAAGTGAGGTAATTTTGAAGTGAAGAATCAAAGTTTTCAAGTTCACGTTCTAGCATGTTTTCAAGTTCAAGTTTTCAAGAAGGAGGTAATTACTTATCTTAACTTCATGTTTTATATGAGTTAAGTAGTTATTAGCATATATGTTGAAGTTGAAATTATAATGGAGTTTATGAATTCAATGAGTTTAAGTTATGTGTAATAATGAGAATAAGAATTAAGTTGTTTTAAGTTGAGATATAGATTGAGCATATTATTGGATTGAGTTTAAGTTGAGAATAAATAGAATTTACATGTTATCACCTTCATTACATGTTAGAATGTAAATTCTTATAGTAATAATGAGTAAGTCTTGTGTAGATGAGGAGTATTTATGAACAAGGATTAAGTTATTTGATATGTTATAATTTGAGATAAAGATTTTGAAGTTAGCATGCAAAGTGAATTTCATGATATTAAGTTAAGAATTGAATGTGTTGCTATGATTAGATGGCATATATTATGTATTTCATGGTAAAGTTTCAAGAGTAATTGAAATGAAATTTCTCATACTATTAAGTGATGAGTAAAGTGATCAAGTTTTAGTTTAATATGTTGAGACTACAATGTTATATAAATTGTTTTAAGTTTTGCTTAGTAATATCATGAATTAAGTGTTATGATT